GCGAAGAACAGACGCGGCTGTGCAGTGCCACCAGCACCAGCAGCTCCAGTACCCCCAGCAGCTCCAGAACCTCCAGCAGCCCCAGAACCCTCAGCGCCAGCTCCTCCAGGACCAGCTCCACCAGCAGCAGTACCCCCAGAACCGGCACCTCCAGTCCCACGGTCTCCAGCCTCAGTGTCTCCAGCAGCAGCACCCCCAGACTCAGCACCTCCAGCCCCAGCAGCTCTAGTACCTCCAGTACGAGCACCTCCGGGACCAGCACCACTCCCAGCTCCAGTGATGTCAGCAGAAGTACCTCCAGCGGCAGAGCCCCAAACTCCAGAAGCGCGACCCTGACGGCGACCGTACCAGTTGTGCAGCTGCTGTGAGGTGAGAGGCACAAGCGGACGAAGGCGGCTACTCCAAGGAGACCGCGCAACAGCAGACTCAGAACCCTCAGCGTCAGCACCCTCAGCAGCTCCAGAACCTCCAGCTCCAGCGCCACCAGCGCCAGTACCTCCAGCAGCTCCAGAACCTCCAGCGCCAGCACCCGCAGCAGCTCCAGTAGCAGAGTCACCAGCTCCAGCGCCTCCCGCAGCAGGGCCCCTAGCTCCAGCAGCGCGACCCTGACGGCCAACGTACCACTCACGCAGCTGCTGTGGGGAGAGAGGGAGTCGACAACGAGAGTGCAGCGGCGAGGCACTAGCGGAGCAACTACGGAGACGGCCGCTCCAGGGAGACTGCTCACCAGACGCCTCAGCGCCCCCAGGTGCAGCACCCCCAGACTCAGTACCCCCAGACTCAGCACGCCAAGACTCCTCACGCCGAGGCTCGGCACCTCCAGGCTCCGCACCCCCAGGCTCAGCACCCCCAGACTCCTCTCGCCGAGGCTCGGCACCTCCAGGCTCCGCACCCGCAGGCTCAGCACCCCCAGAAGCAGCACCCCGAGCAGGACCACCCTCAGTAGGACCTGAGTCACCAGAAACCTCAACCGGCGCAGTCAAGGGAGGAGGGTCTACCTGAGACACACCTGAAGGAGCAGGACCGGGAGCGGGGAGGGGGTCTACCTGGGGAGCACCTAGAGCGAGGAAGACCGGTGGGGGGGGGAGAGGGGCAGTGCGGTAGGGGAAGAGACGGTAAAAGGGAACCGACTCGTCGAACGTGACGTCCTGAGAGGGGAAGACACGGCGCGAGGTGGGGTGGTAAAATTGCCAACCAGGCGCGTCAGGGACAAAGCCAAGGAAGACACAGGGAACAGCGCGGGCGGAGAGCTTGTCCGCGGTGGTATCGCGGACAAAGGCACGAGAGCCCCAGACCCGGAACACCGACGCATCGCCAACCTCCCCCGTCCACCGCAGTGTGGGCGAGGTCTCCGACAAGGAGACACGGGGCCAGAGGTTGAGCTGATGCGCGGCGTAGCGGACCGCAAACGGCCACAGAAAATGGGGGGCAGCCGCATGGACCATGGAGGTACGAGCGACCTCCATGACCAAGCCAATGCGGCGCTCAGCAACTCCATTCTGCTGCGGAGAGGCCGGAAGCGTGAACGTCTGGAGAATGCCCTCCCCACGACAAAAGCTCTGCAGAAGGTCGGAGGAAAACTCCCCACCTCTGTCAGAGTGCAGAAGCAGGACGGGAAACTCCGCCCCGAACCGCTCGCGGAGCTGGAGACGAGCAGCGCGGATCCAAGGGATCAAAACATCAGGGACCTCACCCTTGGTGCGCAAGGGGAAGACCGTGGTGTAACACGAGTAGTCGTCAACAACCAGGAGGAAGTACCGCTCGCGGTCCTGCCCACTGACGCGGGCTGGGCCCCACACGTCCATGTGCAGGGTCTGCAGGGGAGCAGTCGTCGGGGGAAACGAGGAGGAGTGGGGAGCGGCGCGCTGCCGCCCCTCGACACAGGGAAGACAGTTAGGAGCAGGCGAGGGTGGGAGAGGAGGGAGAACCCTGGGAAGACCAGAGACAAGGACACGGCGGTGCATGCTACGAAGGCGCTGCACCGAGGGGTGACCAAGACGGTGGTGCCAAAGGAGGGTCTGGTGCGACAAAGCGCGACACGAGCAGGGGGCCGCTAGCTGACCTGACGCAGACGCAGACGCAGCGACCTGAGGGGACACAGTAGTCAGTGTGTACAGACTCGAGCCAGGTGCACGGGTAAACGTGGCCAGGTGCCGGCCCGTCCGGGAGCACGTACAGTGGGTCACGCGCTGACCTTCATGAGTGAACTGGTCAACCCACTGGTCCTGGAGGTCAGCACCACTCACCAAGTTCGTAGAGAATGAGGGGAGGTGAAGACCAGACAGGGAGCCAGACGGGACCGCCGGACACAGCAGGACCGTGGAGGAGTGCGCAAGGACTGGACCCCCAGAGGGGTCTGCCAGGGAGACTGCAACCGGCCGACTGAGCGGCGTGAGGGTGGTGCTGTCGCGAAAGAAGGAGCGAGAAGCACCTGAGTCAAGTGCGAAGGTGTACAAGGCCTCAGCAGGCGCAGTACCAGAGAGGGCAGACTCACCAGCACCTGGAGCAGAAGCCTCACCAGCACCTAGAGCAGGAGACGCACTAGCACCTAGAGCAGCAGCCTCACCAGCACCTAGAGCAGGAGACGCACTAGCACCTAGAGCAGCAGCCTCACCAGCACCTAGAGCAGCACGCTCTATACCTGGGTCAGGCGGTACGCACAGGTAACAGGCACGGTCATCACTAGTAGGCAATGCATACATGGCAGTGAGAATAGCATCATAGTCAAGAGCAAAGATATCTACCCTCTGCCTAAGCAGCTCCAGCCAGGTGGGGAGCTCAGCCTCGTTGCCAAACTCGGTACGCCAGGCGTCGCTCAGACGGGCGAAGCAGCGGGACTGTGTGTGACCAAGCGTCCCGCAAGCCTGACCAGCCCGATCACCTGTGCGAATGACGTACGGGCAGCGAATGGTACTCCAAGACCCTCTACTATGAGCGTACCACTCATGAAGCTACTGGGGCGTAAGTGTCTCGCGCGGACGCCGCTGCAGCTGCACCTGGCCACTGCCAGACGCTACCGACTGACCAGCTCCAGGGCGACCGCCACGACGGCTACCGCCACAACCCCAACTAGCGTACCACTCACAAAGCTGCTGGGGCGTGAGAGACTCACGCGGACGTCGCTGGAGCTGCATCTGGTCAGCGCCAGTAGCAGCAGTAGCAGTAGTTGCAACACTAGCAGCAGCAGTAGCCTAGCAGTAGTAACAGAAGTAGCAGGAGTAGCAGTAGTAGCAGCTTGGGCAAGGCAGGCGCGGCAGGCAGGCAGGCAGTCAAGCAGGCAGGCAGGCAAGCAGGCAGGAAGGCAGGCAGGCAGATGGCGCGGCAGCGCGCGAACAAGGCAGGTGCTCACCATTGGTGGGAAGGGCAGGCGCTCGCCGGGCGAGTAGGGCCGGCGCTCGGCGGGCGGCGGCAGGGTAGGCGCACGACGGCAGTGACGGCGGGGCTGCAACAGCGGCTGCAGAGTAGGGCCAGGGGCGGCTGCTGCAGTGGCGGCTGCCCCAGGGGCCAGGGGCGGCTGCTGCAGGGGCGGCTGCTCCAGGGGCCAGGGGCGGCTGTTGCAGGGGCGGCTGCTCGAAGGCAGGCGCGAGGTGAGGTAGGGGCGGCTGCACCGAGTGCAGGCGCGTCTCGGGATCCAGGGGCGGCTGCACGGGGTCCAGGGGCGGCGTCGCGGGTCCAGAGGCGGCGTCGCGGGGTCCAGGGGCGGCTGCACGGAGTCCAGGGGCGGCTGCACCAGGGGCGGCTGCTGCAGGGGCCAGGGGCGACTGCTCTGGGTCCAGGGGCGGCTGCTCCAGGGGCGGCGTCGCTGGTGCAGGGCAGCGCGCGGGTCCCACAGGCGCCGCGACGGGCGACGGGGGGCAGCGCGTAGGCCAGGCGGGGCCGCGTCGGCGGCTGTAGAAAGCAGTGCGAGGGCTGCGGAGCGGCTCGCGGGGCAGGAGAAGGCAGCGCGGGGGCTGCGGGGCGGCGCGCGGGCCTGACAAGGCAGCTAGCGAGCTACGCGCGGGGCTGACGAGGCAGCAGGCGGGCTGCTAGCGGGCTGTACGAGGGCCAGCAGAGGCGAGCGCGAGGGCTGCGCGACGCAGGGCAGTGTAGGCAAGGGGCAGGGTAACTCGGTAACCGGCGGAAAACGGGTGGTGGGCCCTGAAAAACAGTCCTAAAACGGTCCTAAGGACCTATGTTGCTCTTAATACCATGTCGAGAGTAAAGGGAAAGGTGATGGCACTATCGAGAAAGTTGGGTACAAGTAACAAAACATATACCTTACATTAGCTACCCCACTAAAGCCTACATTTTATTATGACATAGGCATATAAATTTGACATGTAGCACAGCAAGGAGCAGGACAAAACGAGTTACTAGGCCACATGTCGTTAACTAATTTGACTCCGCGTCCTCCACATTTTCTACCTTTTTATCATCTTCTCTGCATTTTCCCTGTTCTACCCATCCCAACGAATCGCTGCTGGAGTCTGGCATCCCCCTTTCCCCGCACCCCTCCCCCCATCCCTCACCTTCCCTCTCATCCATTTCACCCTCCAGTCGCCGCCCACCGGCATGATCCCATGAACACACTGTCGGTGTCTCACATTCCTCCTCCACTCCCACCAGCAATCCTCTTCTCACACATCCCACCCATCTCACCCATCTCACCCATCTCACCCATCTCACCCATCTCACCCATCTCCCATTCCACCCAACTCTCCCATCCCAACCATATCGCCCATATCACCTATCTCTCCTTCCAATAGCAATCCTCTTCTCACACACCTCACTCATCTCACCCATCATCTCACCCATCTCACTCATCTCACCCATCTCACTCATCTCACCCATCTCACCCCTCTCTCCTTCCAGCCGCCTCCTCTCGTGATCCCATGGACATGCTGCCGGCGTCTCTCTGGCACCGGGTGTTCCGCTGCCTGTTGCTGCCGCCAGGCTCCTCCCACCCCCACAACCCCCTTGCACGAGGCAGACGAAAGACGCCCTAGGACCTCACCGCCACAATGCAGCCTCCAGCGGGCAGAAATCTGCCCGTGAAACTTGTGGACCCTGACTTTTCAGCAGTCGGGCAGCACCGGAAGAATGTGAAAAGCTATGGCAGTGGGTGGGCCTTGTTGTGCTGTGCCATGGCCAGCAAGAGGTTCCTCGAGCTCGTCCTCTCCTTCTCCTTGAGTGTTGTTGTGTTTTGCACTTGACTTTTGAATTGCACCCTGGCTAGTATATGAGATTCCTAGCACAGTCCTGGTTGGCCGAACAAGCAGCCTATCTGACAACTCCATTCCCATCACATTTCATCACCCATCTTCTCCCCAAACCCACCACCCCATCTCCCAGCCAACCAGCCTTCACATTCTCTCCTGCATTCCCACCCATCCCTCTCCACACCACAGGCCCACCACCCTATTGCTCTGGCTTAAAACAACCTGCACTAGCAGTGGGAGAAGAGCGTCGCCTTCTTTAGGTCATGCTTCAGATCTGGATCTGAGCAACCTTGCGGTGCCTCATTCCTTCTCCCATCCCTCTCCCCACTCCGCAGGCCCACCACCCCATCTCGCTGGTCTACAACAACCTGCATCCTCAGTGGGAGAAGAGCGTCGCCTTCTTTAGTTCATGCTTCAGATCGGGATCTGAGCAACCTTGCGGTGCCTCATTCCTTCTCCCATCCCTCTCCCCGCTCCGCAGGCCCACCACCCCATCTCGCTGGTCTACAACAACCTGCATCCTCAGTGGGAGAAGAGCGTCGCCTTCTTTAGTTCATGCTTCAGATCGGGATCTGAGCAACCTTGCGGTGCCTCATTCCTTCTCCCATCCCTCTCCCCGCTCCGCAGGCCCACCACCCCATCTCGCTGGTCTACAACAACCTGCATCCTCAGTGGGAGAAGAGCGTCGCCTTCTTCCTGCGCTGGCGCGGCCTCAGGTCCCTCGCCCTCACGTACACGCACGTCATGCAACTCAACACCCTCAACTCGCAGCACAAGTGGCACTTCTCCTCTCTCACCTCGCTCAGCCTCAAGCTGCGCGGCTGCTTGGACTGCTCCCAGCTGTTTGACGACATGACCAAGGGCGATCGGGAGGACGTGGAGCAGGAATACTGGGACCGTAACTTCAACTGCCCGGATCTGCAGCGGCTGAAGCTGGGGCGGGGCAAGTGGGTTCTTGGGGACGGCTGGGCCGATAAGTTCAAAGCGCTGCGGAGTTTGACTCTCAAGCACGTGGACTGGGATTACGTGGATGTCATGTATCTCGCCAAGATCACACCACAGCTCACAGAATTCACGCTTTATGAGCGCTGGAAATTGGATAAACCGTCCATGGGCCCTAGGGGAGGCGGCAACAACATGTACTGTTTCGACTTGTCATCGGCTCGCGTTCTCCGCTTCTACTTCGCACAGAGCACCCTCACGCTCTTCCTCACCCTCTCCTGCTCCCTCAAGGTCTTCACAGCCGTGGCCAAACAGTTGGTCATCTCCTGCAATAGCGCCGATCCGCTCTATCTGGACCACCTCTCACTCTACGGCCAGAAGCGCCTTGTCATCTCCTCCCTCCGCCTCGCATCTGCACAGGTGGCCTACCTCAACGGCCCTCCCATCGACCGGCACTCCCGCGATGATGCCCGCTCGTCCTACTGGCACACCCCTGCGCCGTCCCCTGACTGGCAGAGCTCGCATTGCCGCAGCTCCCCTGAATTCTCCTGGGCTGCATGGCTGGGTGCTGTAGCGCCAACAGTGGAGGTGCTTATAGTGAGGCACAGGGTGCCTGTAGAGAAGGTGCATGCGGAGTGGGGCTGCCTGCGCAGCCTTGGGATTGTCGTGGAGAGTGAGGAGCAATTTGAGGTGGATTTCAAGGTTGAGAAGCGGCGGGATGATGGTGAGGAGGAGGTTACAGTGGAAGACTTTCAGGAGCGCAACCAGAGGCTCTTGCGGGAGCAGCGGCAGCAGGAAGCAGTGCCACCGCAGCTGCAGTGGTGGCAGCAGCAGCTGCAGTGGTGGCAGCCGCAACAGCAGCAGCTCCAGCAGCAGCAGCAGCTCCAGCAGCAGCAACAGCAGCAGCAGCAGCAGCAAGAGCAGGAGCAGGAGGAGGAGGAAGAGGAGGAGCAGCAAGTAGGAAAACCTCCACTTACCAAGGCTCCGAACTTGCAATCCATCTTCTTCCCCACCCGCACATGCGAGCAGTAGATTCTTGTCTCCCTACATGAATCGTTCCCCTCTCTCGCCCTGTACTGCATTGCTAGTCGCTCGTTCTACTGGGAGAAGCATGGGAAGGAGCTGACTGAGTCCCCTGTGGCGCATGTGAGGAAGGGGAGGAGCGGGGTGTCGAGCAACTACTTTGGGGAGAGGCAGGCGAAGAATGTGAGGGAGAAGATGCACAGTGTGAATAGGGGGCTGGTGGAGGGGTACACTGTTGATAAAGATGAGGCATATATGCTGAAGTACAAAGGGAGCCTTTGGGGGACATACTGCTCGTACCACCTCTAGCATTGGTGGTACCACCTCGTACTGCTCGCCTCTCTGCTCATATATTGGTGCAAACAATATCATTGGTGGTTATTTTTTTTTGGGGAAGGGAGTAGGGTGGAATAAGAGTTCGTAATGTATAATGACAATGCATTGCAAGGCCTTGCTTGACTAGGAACAACCTTCTGGCGGGAGTACGGTACGGTATACAAACGGTAAGAAGGGCGGTGCCTCATAACCGTCCATCCTACTGGTCTGAATTTATTGCTTTTCGTGTGCCTGCACTGAATGCGCCTTCAGTGCTCAAGGTGCGTGTGTAGGGCAGTGCGTGCTGCACTGATATCTCAAGGCAGGCAGTTACGCGCATGCTCACCCACTCACCCACGCACCTGCTCTCAACTACTCACCCATTGACCCACTCACCCTCTCACCTTCTCACCCGCTCAATCACTCACACACTCACCCACTCTCTCACTCACCCACTCACCCACTCTCTCACTCACCCACTCACCCACCCACCGTCTCACCGACCCACACCATGAGCCTCACTCACACCATGATATTTTCCTAATTTTATTCCCCTTGCAACCCCCCTCCCCCCTCCCCCCCCCCCCCTCCGGGGCACCACCCCCTCCAACCAGGTGTGTGGTTGCAGGACCCTGACGTGTATCACATGAACATCTTTCACGCCTCACACCACCTCTCCCCTGCCACCGCCAATCAGGTATGGCCGTACCCGCAACTTCTCTGCATGTTTCTTTTCTCTCTTTCTTTTCTTGCACTGAAGAAGCTGCATGCTGCACTCAAACTGGCCCGTCTCGTCTCGTGTGCTGCATGTGCCAACTTCTCTCGCACTCAACTTTCCTGCAAGGGTCCACATCCCAGTGTGTATCTCATTCTTCATGTGCTCATTCTGCATCCATTGAGTCCGTGTGTGGAGGGGGGGAGGGCGCAGAGTTCCGCACCCCAGTGTGTTACACAATGGGGAGGGGGAGAGGGCGCAGAGTTCCGCACCCCAGTGTGTTACACAATGGGGAGGGGGAGAGGGCGCAGAGTTCCGCACCCCAGTGTGTTACACAATGGGGAGGGGGAGAGGGCGCAGAGTTCCGCACCCCAGTGTGTTACACAATGGGGAGGGGGAGAGGGCGCAGAGTTCCGCACCCCAGTGTGTTACACAATGGAGAGGGGGAGAGGGCGCAGATTTCCGCACCCCAGTGTGTTACACAATGGGGAGGGGGGGAGGGCGCAGAGTTCCGCACCCCAGCGGGTGCCTTCTCTTCATCCACCAGCTATTTCACCTTTCAAACCTCCCTCTGCCTCCCCCTCTGATTCTAACAGATGTGCCCGCCTCAACTCCTTCTTCCCTCTCCTGTGCACGCATCCACACACATTCTGCCTTGCCCCCATCCTACCCACCTTCGCCCAAACCAGTCAGCGGACGAGGTGCGGGCAGTGAAGGGCGTGAGCAAGCGCATGTGCCCGATGTGGGACTCTTTGGACCGGCTCATACTCTGTCAGGTGAAATGTCATTCATTGCGTGTATGTGCAGGGGGTGTGTGTCTGCATGCGCACAGGGCATGTGCAACTGCAATGCAACCGGGTGCTGGTTGATGCCTGGGTTACACCATGCGCTCATAACACATGCATTTGTTGCTCCACTGCACCGCACTGCACCGCATCTCACCTCTCTGCACCAGGTGGTGGAGGGCACGGATCCTGCAGAGCTGAGGGACGAGCTGAAAGAGGCTCTGCCCCGCGCTCCCAAGTAGCAGCTGGTGGGTGCCCTTGTAAAGGCTCAATTTCCCAATGCTGCTGCTGCTGCTCACGCGCCCCCGTGTGTGTTTTGAGTCAATTCAGAGCGCAGAGGTGAGCTCAGAGTGATCTGCAAAATGGGCTGAGGGAGTGGACTTTGCTGTACGCACCAAACCCACTGCCAGTGCCTTGCTCTGTGTTTCTGGCAGCAGTACTCTAGCTCACCCACGTTTGTCCTCCTATTGACCCACGGCTCAACCTTCAAATCCGCCTGCCACAATCTCAACTCTCGGTTCCCGTCTTTCATGTGTCACATCATGTCACGCCTATATTTAGATCTCCTCTGGACCTGCCATTCCGACTCATTTTCCCTCTGCAATTCCTGTAGAATCGTTTTCACCTTGTCCTTCACCCACCTGCTTCCCCCCTCCCCCAGTACAACCGAGTAATGCTGCACACGTCACTGGCAAGCATCCTCGCACCATCTTTGAGGCGCCTCAAAAGTCCCTCATCCACCTGCTTCCCCCCCCCTTCCCCAGTACAACCGGGTCATGCTGCACACGTCACTCCTCTTCTCAATACCCCTCTTCACCCCCTGTTCCCACCTCCCCCAGTACAACCGGGTCATGCTGCACACGTCACTGGCGCGGATCCTTGCACCGCCAACATGGCCTGACGGGGTACGTGCGTGTGCTGCACCAAGGTGCGCCTCTTTTGGGACGACCCAACACTTGCACCACCCACGTGGCCCGACGTGGTCCGATGGGGTTTGTGTGCTGCATCATGGTGTTTTCTGTCGAATGTTACACTGTTGGACCAAGAGGAAGACCGTGTTAGCAACATTTCGTTCAATTCTTATCATCTTGCACCTTGCGTTGTCGTATTTTGAGAACTCTCAAAAGGGACTCCAGCCTTGTGCTGTGGTCATCCATTTTGCCTGCAGGCACTCTTACACTCACTCCTCCCTCACTTCTCATTCTTCACCCCTCACTTCTCACTTCTAATGCCTTTCCCATGGCCCACCCACCACCAGACGCTAGCACACAACGCCGAGTCAGCGATGCCCATTTTCTGCTCCATAGTCAGCGAGCTCAACCAGAAGCTCTGCCGCAAACAGGCATGCCCCTCTCCCCCTCCCTCTCCCTGCTCCTTTTTCTTTCATCTCCCTCTCTCGCTCCCCTCCTGCGCTCTGTACCCTACCTGTTTTTCATTCATCTGCTCCGCCCTTCCCCACTCATACTGCTCCCTTTCCCATTCCTTCCTCTTTCTCCTCTCCTGTCCCAACCCCTTCATGCCATCAGCATACCGTCACTCCAGTCTTCACCCAAATCATTCCCTCCCGCCCTCATATTGCTCCTCTTCCACTCTCGCTCATGCACATCAACTACGGCATTGTCATACACACCTCTTCCTGTTGCCGCGTCATGCCATGCCATGCAGACGGTGGTGAGGGAGCTATGGAACGTGGAGGAGATGGATGTGTTGGCGCTGGCGCTACAAGGCAAGATGAGCGTCAAGCGATTCAACATCACGTGCATCCAACCAGACTGGGTTGGCACAATATAGGCATGTTAGCCTTTACACGTACCGCAACATGTGTATTTGAGGGTGTTGTTGTCCCTCCCAATTTTTAGAATTCTTGCTTACCCAATGCAAATGTGTGTTGTACAAAGTTATCCCCATACGCAAGTGCAAACCAAACAAAGTATCCTCCGAAATGCCATGTAGGCCTGCGCTGTGTAGACGCCCCTAGGGGCTTATCCTAAACACACTTCTAATCCGTTCCTGGAAAAATGCAGAACGGCATGTTTCTATGTGCCATATGGGAATATTGAAGCCGATTTTAGACACCACATAGTACCGAAGCGAACTCGCCTTAGAGATGATGCCTAGGTTTTTTCTCGATAAGGTTTTCCAGCCACCGTGGAGACGAATTCTGCTCGCAATTCCCAGTGCTGCCAAGTTCCCCTCTAGTCAGCCACATGATCCCAGCAACAGAGACTATCAAGAATGACTACCTTTCCCGCCTCGCAGCTCTCTATGGCCCTAGAATCTGTCAGCGCTCTCGCGGTGAGGCGAACCTATCGTCGCCTCGATGACGTCCCAAGCCACATCAGCGCGGTTAGGCTCGGAAATGCATTTCAAACCGATCGCCACATTCCCCAGGCTGGCAGCAGGATCTGTCAAACTGCAGTCTGATCATCGCTTCCATGAGCTTCTGCTGACTCTGCTACACCGCTTGGACCGCTTCCCCCCAGCAGCGCTTCACCTTCCGTAAGATCGCAGCGTCACAGCCATTAGCCTTAAATTCAAAATATTCGTGGTTCATTCTAACATTCTTCGCCAATATCCTTTGCCCGTCGCTACGGTGTCGCTAGCTCTCATCCGAAATGGAATCTCTTCCCGCCGACCTCCTCTACGCCATTCTTCGCCGCGCCGAGCCAGCGGACCCTCGTGCCTTAGCCCGCATGGCTTGCGTTTCGAAAACGTTCGATCGCATCGCCAAAGAGTCACTCTGGCAGCTGCTCTGCCGAGAGAGACTCTCCGATCTCCACGAGGACCAACTCTCTTGCGAGGGCGATAATAACGAGGACTCAACTTATGAAGCAATATCACGCGCTATATTTCGCCGCTTTCTGGAGAGGATGCATAGCGTCGACTTTAGAGCACTCGCACAACTCATCCATTGGCGACGCCCAGGCGTTGTAAGGGGGGCATTGCGGCGTGCATGGGTCGAGGACGAGCGTGACCGTGATGAACCGCGAATGCTTTATAACATCTCGCGCGTCTCCTTTGATAGCACGCTTTTAGATATTACTTGTCGCTACTATCTACTCATACCGCACGAGGAGGTTTTTTTGAATCACGGGCTTCATCTTGACATAAAGAGGTGAGACCTTTTCTTTATGATCGTGCTTAATCTCCAATGGAGAAGTTTGTTTTGCCGTGATGTGGGAAAGAATGGGAAGGGTTCAGTTATAAGAATATAAAGAGCTGGATCGTTTATGTAAGCTGTGCTGTGCTCTTTCCCCTCTTAACATGCCACTGTATTTCAGCTACCACCTAGTTACCACATGCGCTTGATAAGATAACATGTGTGTCATTCGAACAATTGTTGCTGCTTTCGTCTTCCTCATAAGAATGGCCTGCCTTTCCATGCCACCTGCAGGTTTTATGATTCGCTGTATAAGCGTCCCTTCATACAAGCTGAGTCATGTCGCTTCTGCTCGTCTAGGTGTGTTTACCTCGTTGTTGAGTATGCATAAGAAGTGCGATTCCCTATATAAGCAATTTCGGTTTCCCTCTTTCATTAAGTGGAGACATGAGCGGAATCACATGGCAGGTGTGGGACAGTAGTGGTGAGTGGTACACCACCTCATTTAGCATTGGGATCACCACGCAACCCCTCGGTGCCGCTCATTATACCTGCACCCAGGTGCGTTCTACCACCAACCTCGGTAACATGGCTTCCATCTCTAGTGGTACTCTTGAAGTGGGGGAAGATTGGCAAAGAGAGGGAGGAAGGTAAGCAGAGAGAGGGGGGAAGATTGGCAAAGAGAGGGGGGAAGGTAAGCAGAGAGAGGGGTGAAGATTGGCAAAGAGAGGGAGGAGCTTGGCCAAGCAGAGCGGGGAAGGGCAGATTTTGGGAGAGAGGGGATGAAAAGGTTGGGAGAGAGGAAGGTGGAAAAAAATGGTTAGGAGGGAGGGTGTTTGGGAAAAGGGGGAGAAGGGAAGGGGGGGAATGGGTTTGGAAAGGGAGGGGGGAGAGAGTTGGCAGATCGGAGGGCGTGTTTGGCAGAGCAAGTGGGAGTAAGCTTGTCAGTGACGGGGGGAAAATATTTGGTAGAGAAGAGGAGGAAGTTTGGTAAAATGAGGGGCGACGGGCAGAGAGGAGGAGAGGCAGATGAGACTGAGAGAGGGGAAGGGCAGGGATTGGGAGAGGAGTTGTCAGAAAGTGGGGGGTGCTGGCAGATGGAGAGGGGGAATCCAACAGAGAAGGGCGGAAAGCTGTTGTTGGTAGAGAGAGGAGGAGGATTGGGAGAGAAGGGGGGGGGGGAGGTTGGCATAGAGGGTGATGGGGGGAGGGAAAGTGGGCTGTATGGGGGTGAGAGGGCGTGAGAGGGTATGACGCATGATCATTGGAATCTCGATATTATTTTGCCATGGTACTTGAGAGGAGGGCTTTGCTGTTGCTGCTGCAGTCACACTCTTAGAATTCTGGTGCCTCAAAGGCCTCTAGTAATGCAGTAAGTGTGGTGCTTTCATTATCACCCTCTCGCTGACTTTCTGTCCAGCTCGAGTTTTTTTGTTTTTATGAGTTTTTCTAGTTAAGGGCCTCACACTCTTATGTTTCCATATGCCTTTTTCGCATGCTTGTTCTCATGCCAGAACACAAGCACATCGCTTGTCCCCTGGTCATCCCTCACTCTTCTGCCCGCCATGTTTGTTCCCATGCCGGTTTTCATGCTCGTACCCATTCAGTGCCAAGACTCTAAATCACTGTCTCTTGGATCACTCTTCCCTCCCATCCCGAACCATCCATCGCTTCATTCCTCCTTTCCGGACCTCCCTCTCCCCAGCCGGAAACAGGGATGGTGCATCGAGCTCGTCCACACAAGTGAAGACTGGGCGGCAGTGACCCACCGGCCTGCACCTGGTCTGACAGGCATGCCATCCGATGCCATGCCTCTCAGTCAAGCTGCCCCATCATCTGCAGATTGCCCTCATCATCTGCTAGCTGACAACATGTATCTGACTCACTGGAACGACATGTACAGTTGTTTGTGCTTCTTGTGTCTTTCCTAAGATCTACCGTAGTCACCCGGTTGGTTTCCCCAACTTTTTGCGCACCTAAATTGTACCAAGTGGACGCGTTGTTTCGGTTTGGGCCCAAGGCTAGTGATGCTTATGCTCGCAGCCTTAACGCTCTAAAACAAGTTAGTGTTGTGCGCTTCTTGTACGGCAAGTGTACCGTATACCTGAGACACGCACTAAGTAGCCAGTTAACTTAGCCGAGCAAAGCACTAATCAATGAATGTTCAGCTTGGTGTGTGTGGAAAGAAACTAGACCATTCTATGATAGAGGGGCACCTCTTAATCCATGTGCTATGAACCTTAAAAATTTGACAACCTACTAACCATGGCTGCAATGCCATAGATAGCTATCCACCTCAGCCACTTCCATTTCATCCTCGAAATCCTCCGGTCCCATCTCCTCCACATCCCCCACTTTCACCTCTTCATCCTTGCCTTGCTCGTCCTCCCCATCTCCATCTCTCCACCTCCTCCCCCTCTTTCCCACCGCCTTCCCTCTTTACCCTTCACTCTCTTCACTCCTCCCACCTCTTTCCCACCTCCTCCCACCTTTATCCCACCTCCTTCCCACCGCCTTCCCTCTTACCCTTCACTCTCTTCACTTTCGCTCCTCTCCTTCCTCCCGTTCATGACCCTCACCATCGCCCCACTCTCTTTCATCCCCTTCACTCCACTCATCTTCCCCCCCAATCCCCACTTCCCCTTCATCTTCTTCCTCTGAGCCACCCACTGCATGCACTCCCTCGTCCAGGTTCGCTGTATCATACATCACCACCCTCTGTCTTGCCCCCTTTAAAAGCGCATCTAGCTTGCAAAGCCCCAGCAGCGGAAATATTTTGAACGGCTGCCCGTGTACACAGAGAACTTGAAAAACCTGCCCACCAGAGTCTCGCTCCGAAGCCCGGGTTGGATGCCAGCTCATCGAAGGCGCATGACAACGTGGCATCGAGAGACGCCACCTCAGCACCACCTGGCGTGATGGTTGCGAAGCAGGTGAAGTTGGCTGCTGACATGTCGTCGCGGGAGAAGGCAGAGTGGAAGGAAGCGAGGAGGAGGAGGTTGGGGGAGAGGGTGAGCGGTGGAGTGACCTAGGCAGGCTTCAGCGGTGCAACCTCAGCGCGACCACAAAACAGAAACAGAACGTTACCACCAACACGCGCTCCAGCAACAAGGTGTGAATACCACTCTTATCAACCGCTCACCCCCCATGACATCACCTATTGCCTCCTCTGAATCTGCCTCTTCCATTAACTTTCTATTCCTCTCTCACCTCCCCATCCTGCCTTCCTTGTCCTCCTCATCTCCATCTCGCTCTACCTCCTCCCTCGTTCCCCACTCACCTACCCTTCACTCCCTTCCGCTTCACTCCACTTCCCTTCGTTCTCCTCCCCTTCCCTCCCCTCCCCTTCACTCTCCTCCCCATCCTCCCATTCACCCGTTCTAGTTCCTCCCCTTCAGTCTCCCCCACTTTCCCTCCCCTCATCCTCCTCCCCTCCACCATCCACACTTCCCATTCATCTTCTCCCTCCGAGCCACCCATTGCCCGCTCTCCCTCGTCCAGGTTCCTTGAACCATAGATCACCACCCTCCGTCTTTTCCCTGCCCCCCTATCTTCACTCCCCTCCCCTTCGTTCTCCTCTCCTCCCTCCCTTTCACTCTCTTCACTCCCCTCATCTTCCTCCACTGTCCCCACTTCCTCCTCATCCTCTTCCTCCGAGTCTTCTTCTCACTCACTCCGAGTCATCCCCTTCCTCCTCCTCCTCCTCATCCTCCTCATCCTCCTCCTCATCCTCCTCCTCGTCCCCTTCCCCCATCCACACTTCCCCTTCATCTTCGTCCTCCGAGCCACCCACTGCACGCTCTCCCTCGTCCAGGTTCGATGTACCATAGATCACCATCTTCCGTCTTGTAGACAGCAGCGGGCACTCAGAGACAACGCATGTCTGCAGCTTCCCCATCTTCTGCAGGCCCGCGGGTAACTGAGCCAGCAGCTCGCATCTGAGCAGGATCAAATCCTCCAGTCCGGGCAGCTGCGAAAAACATTCGGGCAGGCTGCAAAGTTCGGGCAGTGCCATCAAAGAGAGGCTTTTCAAAGCAAAGAGCTTCCAAAACTCATCTGGAAGGCACGAGATTCCGACCTCGATCAAAGAACACGACTCCAGCTGGCAGAGATCAGGGAAGGACTGGGGAAGCCTGGTTAGGCCCGGGCTGTTGTAAATTTCAAAAGTCCGAAGCTTCTTCAGCTGCCCGAGTGACTCGGGCAGAGCAGTCAAGCTCGTGAGTTCGGAAGGTTGGAGGGATGTGAGAGCTGAGAGCTGCCCTATTGTCTCTGGCAGTGCTACCAGGCTTTCGGCACGGATGATTGTGAGTGACTGCAAGCGAGAGAGGCGAGAGATGGAGTCTGGCAGCGAGCGAAGCAGATCCATTTCAGAAATTTCCAGCCTGGTTAGCGATGGGAAGCAGCCCAGCGATGCACCGAGCTGCTGCAGGGGAAGCTCCGCAAGCTGAAGGACCTCGAGGGATGGCAGCGACACACCCGTGCCACTCTCCTCGGATCCCCCACAGCTGCCAGTGGCACTGCTGCTACCCGTGTGACTGGCTAACTCGAGGCGGGTGATTCTCCCCCCAAGCTCCTGCCCGGCAGCTCCCGTGTGTGCATCCCCCGTGTGTGCATCCCCCGTGTGTGCATCCCCCGTGTGTGCATCCCCCGTGTGTGCATCCCCCGTGTGTGCATCCCCCGTGTGTGCATCCTCCGTGTGTGCATCCTCCGTGTGTGCATCCCCCGTGTGTGCATCCCCCGTGTGTGCATCCTCCGTGTGTGCATCCTCCGTGTGTGCATCCCCCGTGTGTGCATCCCCCGTGTGTGCATCCCCCGTGTGTGCATCCTCCGTGTGTGCATCCTCCGTGTGTGCATCCCCCGTGTGTGCATCCCCCGTGTGTGCATCCGCCGTGTGTTCATCCCCAAATAGCGACTCTAACGCCAAACAGGAACTCACTTTTAGAGATTTCAACCGCTGCAGCTGATACAGCGAGCCAGGGAGCGACTTGAGGTCAAGTTGTGAGAGCTCGAGTGTTTCAAGCGCTCCCAGCTGCCCGATTTCCTCTGGCAGCGCCTTGATTTTCAAGCACCTGACCACGAGGCTGGTGAGAGAACGGGCGATGGCAGGGAGAGAGGCAGGCAGGGCGGGCAGGTGCGGCAGGTAGAAGAGGGAGAGGTCCTTGAGGCTTGTCATGTGGGAGAACCCGCCTGGAAGCGTGCCTTGTAGGCTGGGTGCTTCTGAGATTCCTAGGGTTTCGAGGGAGGAGAGGCTGGAGAAGGATGGAGGGAGGTGGGTGAGAGCTGTGCATTCGAGCAGAAGCAGTCTGCGCAGGCTGCGCAGACCATCCCCCATGCCCTGCGGCAGCGCTGTCAGCTTGCAGCAGTCATAGATTTCCAGCAGCTCGAGGGAAGAAAGCAGAGTGAGGGAGTCTGGAAGTTGCGTCAGCATGCCGCATCTGGCGAATTTCAGCTCCTTGAGGCTTGTCAGGTTGCCAAGCGACGCGGGCAGGCTGCTGAGCCGCGGAAGCTCATCCAGGCACAGTATCTCCAGAGCAGTGAGCTGCCCGAATTCCTCGGGCAGGGATTGTAGAGCTGTGAAGTTTTCAAGCGTAAGCTCTTTAAGTGCAGTTGCAAGGATTATAGAGGGAGGCAGGTGCACGCGGACTCCGCGCAACTTGAGAGTGCGTAGGCATGGCAGTAGAGCGACGTCGTCAGGCAGATGGTAGAGTGATGATCCGACGAGGATAAGGTCCGTCAAAGAGGGCATGTGGGAAAGGGAGGCTGGGAAAGATATTCTTTTGCTGTAGTTGATCACGGAGAGGAGCCGCAACCGCTGCAGCTGCCCGAGACTCGCGAGAAGGCTGGTTACCCCCCCCACGTCCTCCAGGCGAAGGGTTTCAAGCGCCGGCAGGTTCCCGAAACTCTCGGGCAGCGGTGAAAGCTTTTGGCACCTCCAGATTTCGAGGGTCAGTAGGGATGAAAGGTTGGAGATGGATTCAGGCAGCTGAAGCCTTGGACCGCCGTTGATGGAAAGATGGGTTAGGTTGGTAAGCTGCCCGAAAGAATCGGGAATTGAGCGGAGACACGTGCATTCCAGCCGGAGCGACTTGAGTTGCCTCAGATTGCCGAAGTTCTGAGGCAGTTCATCCAGGTCGGACATTTCAATCACGAGATGCGCGAGTGCCTGTAACGAGGTGAAAGAATCTGGAAGGAGAGCGATTCTCCCACTGTCGATGATGTGCAGGCTCTTGAGTGACGCAAGGCCGCCGATTGAAGCGGGAATGGCGGTCAGATTCGACTGACAATCAAGATGAAGCCCCTCCAGCCGTGTGCACTTCCCAAAGAGATACGAAAGAACGTTCTCAGTGAACCCCCCGCGTCTGTACTCTCGATCCATCTTATCGACGTGGAGGTCCGTCAGATCTGGACACGTGTCGGCAATCCCCGAAAGGAGGAAGTCAGGGATGGACGTGATGCTGCCGTTGGCGAGGACGAGCTTTCGAAGTCCTGGGAATGACGAGAGATGCGCGAGCAGCTCGAATGGACGTATGCGACGCTCTTCGCGAAGATGGATGTGCTCGTGCACGCTACGGGCGATGCGATGCCATTTCTTGCACACAAGCGCGTGCTGGAGCTGACCGTCGGATCTACCGACGAAATGGAGGATAACGGAGAGAAGATCGTCTGACAGCTGTCCGATCGGTGATGCAGCAGCCATTCCGACTAGTTGATAAAATGGGACTAATGTAAGCGGTCGAAGACCAAAAACGTCACGGCGAGAGTCTAGGGTTCAGCAGCAGAACATCCTAAGCTTCAGTTGTGAGGAGTATGGATGGATGAAAGTCTTTGCTCTGCGAGAGAGTCGCTGTGACATGGCAATCCCTAGGCTGGCTGGATCCAACCCAACCGCTCGCAATGAACTCTCTGCCTCAGGACGCGTCACATGTCCAACACCGGGGTCAGATCGGCTCCAAACACCGAATTTGTTTTGTTTTTTTTTGTGTTTTTTTTTTTTAGTGAAAGCTTATACAAGAGCATGTACAAGCAAAACACTTAAGTCGTAACTGACTCATCGGGCTCAAGCCGGCTTACGTAAGCCAAGCCCTCCCCGCGAACTTTAAGGTGGCTTCACAAAAGTCCTTGGGTTTGTCCAGATGGACTGAAAACTTTCGTGCCACTTCAGCCCCACCGCCTCGTTGTCACAAATCCTCCGCATGACACGTGCCTCATCCTCCGCCAAGTTCCACCTCGCCTTATCCTTCCGTGCCCGCCTGCTGGGTCTGCCACAGTAGATTCTTGCATGTTTGTTGAACTCCACCTTGATCCTCCGAAGCACCTTCCGTGCCTGAAACTTTTTGACCTTACGGAGCGACACATCACACCTTCCCAGCCAAATCTGGTGCATCGCCACTGCCACCATAGTAGCTTCTGGAAACCCGGACCTCGTCTCCTCCTCTCCAAACACGTCTTCACCTCCACCGCTTCTATACCCTTGCTCGGCTCCCTAAGTTCCCTCAGCGGAACCACATCCTCCTCCTTAAACAGTGACGAGGCTAGTAACCGCGTTCTCGGATCTCCGACCTCCCGTACTGCCCGGATTTTGGAGAGCCTCACCGGCAACACGCTGCCACAGCACAGCACCAGCTTCACGTCCCATGCAGTGCGTTCCCCTTTTCCACTCAATCCTCGCAGCTCCACTTTCCTCCCCATCTTGCCAACAATCTCCCAAAGACACCTCTGCCCACTCGGTAACTTAGTGCACACTACGGGCGATTCCCCCGCTACCTCCTCTGCAGTTAGAGGCGCCAACACCCACTGACGCCATCGCTCTGGTGCCGCGTGAAACGCCTTTAACGCCAATTCCGCCTCCTTTTTCCCTTCTAACTCCCTCGCCAGTGTTTCTTCCGATTTCAGCATCACCGTGCCATCTGTCAGAGGTCCACTGGTGATCATCGATTGATCCTAGGGAAGGGTTACAGGCTCGTTGTCCTGGGGGGTTATGGGCGCACTCACCCGCTACTTAACAAGCCCTTTTATCCCAATGGTCTAGTGGTTGGGATTCTGACATGGTATCAAAGCGAAGGTCTCGGGTTCGAATCCCAGTGTGTGCACTTCGGGCATCCCAGTGCGGGGGGGTGTCAGAGGTCCACTGGTGATCCTCGATTGATCCTAGGGAAGGGTTACAGGCTCGTTGTCCTGGGGGGTTATGGGCGCACTCACCCGCTACTTAACAAGCCCTTTTATCCCAATGGTCTAGTGGTTGGGATTCTGACACCATCCCACTTCCTCACGACCATGTCGCGCATCTTCCATTTCCTCAGCTTCTCCGTCCCTTTCTGGCCGCCGAACGGGGCATTCCCGCGGTGAATGATGTTTTTATTGTACCATAGAAACTCCTCCTCCGCCTCCCATCTTGACGACGCTTCAGGCACTGTCACCACCGTAGATTTCAGTATCGCCTTGCACAGCCTTGCCCACCTCCTGCTTTTGAACAGACCCCCTCTCAACACCGCTGTGTGTGCGTACAGTGTCGCCCAGCCAAGAGGCAGCCCTGCCGCTCTCTCCGATAAGCCCCGCCTGAGCGGACACTCCTGTTGCAGCGCCAGGCTCGCACATCTTAGAGCCACACTGTCTATGTGCCCCCGCGGATCAATCACACCCAAACCCCCTTGCTCCCTTGGTGTATATATCAAATCCCCACTCCAGAGCCTGAAATGCCGCTCCGTATCTGCATGATTGCCGGACACGAAATTTTCTACCAGCTTTTCCACCCTCTTCCACAACAGATCGTCCGGCGGGTACACTTGTGCTTGAAAGAGGAAGATCGGCAGCACGTAACTGTTGATAATAGTCACCCGTGCACTCGTCGTGAGGTACTTGGTGCTCCACTTACTTAGTTCCCCCGTTGCTCTGTCAAACGCTTTCTCCCATGTCACCTCCGCCTTCCCGCCAGGTGATATCCACACCCCGAGGAGTCTCTCTACCTCATCCTCTCCAACCCATCGGTATCCCAGCCCATCAGGCGCCTGCTGTCCCACGTTCCTCCCCAACGGCAGTACCGCGGATTTTCATGCATTCACCTTTAAGCCTGACACCGCCGCATACTCCCGCAGTACCGCTCCCGCTTCTTTCAATTGTGGCACCCCTTCTAACAGCAGGATCGTATCATCCGCATACCCTACGTATGACAGCCTTTCGCACCCTCCTTCTCCAATACCCAACTTCCTTTCATCCACCATCCGGCTCAACGGCTCCACCGCGCACAGGAAAAGGTAAGGCGCCAGCGGACAGCCCTGCCGCACGCCTTTCCGCATCGTGATCTTCTCTCCTACCCATCCATTGATGCACAGCCTTCTGTGTACATCGCTATGCAGAGCCTGTATCCATTTAACAAACCGCGTGGGGAAACCCAGCTTGGTGATGGTCTCCAGCATGAAGTCCCTGCGCACCGAGTCGTACGCCTTTTCGAAGTCGATCAGAAGCAGATACCAGTCGCTGTTATCATTCCGGGCCGCTTCAATCATATCCGCCACCGTCGACACCGCGTCTGTTAGCCGCCTTCCAGGTAAGAAACCGTATTGCTCGTTTGAAATCACCTGGTCCAGCACTGCTTTCATTCTCGACGCCACCACCTTTGCCAAGATTTTATAAACTCCTGACAGAAGCGTAATCGGCCGATAATTCCTGATATCCGTTTGTGCCCCCTTCTTGAATAGCAGGATGGTAACCGCCTCGTTCGCAACATCTGGCATCTTTCCGGTCTTCACAAACTCCCCAACCATCTTCATCAGTGGTTCCCGCAGCAAATCCCAGTGGACCTGGAACAACTCCTTGGGCAAGCCATCCCGACCTGGAGACTTATCGTTGGCCAGCTCCCTGATCGCCTGCTGAACCTCCTCCTCCGACCAGTCCTTCGTTAGACACTCCGCTGATGCTCGTTCGAGCACCTTCCTCGGCGTCCACTGAGAAAAGGAGAAAGCGAATGAATGAACTATGAATGAAGTGAGTACATATAGGAAACCCTAATTGGGTTGTACCCCCTATGGGATACCCCACTATAGCCTACACAACAGCATAAGCTATATATATGTTCTGACACACCCCCATAGGCAAAGTGGGGGAGAACAAGGGGTCACAAGACCAGTCACGCAAAGCACAGCAAGCTCAGGGTGGATCACAAAGTCACCACACAGTCCGAGCACAACGACAAGGCCACAAGGCCAGTTCACATGCAGGAGTGCACACATATATATATAGAGCTAGACAAGCAAGAGCAGGTATATATATGTGACAGTACAAGCAAGGTCAAGAGGAGAGCAAGTGAGGCAAGACAGGTACAAGACCCAGCTGAGTGCAGAAGCGCTGATGGTCACAAGGCGCAAGTGCCTTGGTGAACACATCAGCAGTGTTGGCCTCAGAGGCCACGTACGCAAGTCGCAACTGACCACACTGCTGCAGCTCACGAGCAAGAAAGTAACGGAGAGCAATGTGCTTCGTTCTGTGCTCCAAGCGCTGCTCTCGACACAAGGCCAGCATGGCCTTGTTGTCTACGTACAGCACTGGAGGAGAACGAGGCGGCTCTCCAAGGTCAGTCAGCAGGTAGGTGAGCCAGCGAAGCTCCTGTGCAGCCATGGCCCCGGCGTAGATCTCAGCCTCACAACTGGAGCCGAGAACAGAGGACGAGCGTGTAGCCCGCCACGAGACAGAGCCGGAACCAAGACTGAAGGTGTAACCCTGCGACGACCGCTGCGTAGCCTGGTCGTCAGCCCAAGAAGCGTCCGCGTGCCCAGTGAGGACCACTGGACTCCGCCCTCCAAGCACTAGCCCCATGCCCGACGTACTGCACAAGTAGCGCAACACCCTCTTCGCTGCAGCCATGTGCTCTGGTCGGTGTCTCCCAGGAGCAACATAGCGTGCAAGAATGCTAAGAGGGTATGCAAGGTCAGGTCGTGTGCAGGTCATCAGGTACATGAGGCAACCAACAAGCTCTGGGTACGGGCCACTCGACTCTACGGACTCATCCGAAGGCAGAGCTGAGAGCGAGTGGCGAGTAGACAGAGGAGTGGCCTGAGGCGAGGAGTACGTGAAGCCGAAGCGCTGAAGGACCTGCTGCACCATGTGTGACTGAGTCAAGGTAATGGTGCGGCGTGCTCTGTCCCGAGTGATCTGCAAGCCAAGGTAGCTGCGCAGTTCACCCAGGTCTGTGCACGTGTGTCTCTTCTGCAGCTCGGACTTCACGTAGGCTAGTCCAGCAGTGTCAGCTGTGGCAAAGACCAAGTCGTCGACGTACACGAGGATGTAGAACGGCGGCAAAGAAGTGTCGGTGCGCAGAAACAACGACGGGTCAGCAGTAGAGGGAGCAAACCCAAGAGCCGCAAGCGTAGTCCTCAGTGTGTCGTGCCACTCACGCGGTGCCTGGCGGAGACCATAGACTGGCCGTCGGAGGCTCCACTGGGTGCCAGGAGGGAAAGTCCCAGTGAAGCCAGGTGGACGGCGCAGCCAGATCTCCTCGTGCAGGCTACCCTGCAAGAAAGCAGTGCTGAAGTCAAGAGAGTGGAGCTCGTAGTCGCGCTGAGCGGCTATGTGCAGTAGCACCCGAAGAGTGGTCATCTTCGGGGTGGGAGAGAAGGTCTGAAAGTAGTCAACTCCCTGCCGCTGACTGAAGCCACGAGCGACGTACCGCGCCTTGAAGACAGGTGGAGAGCCCGGCGGCCGCTT